TTTTTACACAAGACATGACGTTTTGATTTTTTTTAAAAAGGACAAAATAAAAAAATGTATAGATAAATTGTTCCAAATGAGATCAATAACATGCATTTGAAAGGTTGAATTTTCATTTTGTGCTGAACTGAACTTTAAACAGATCTTACAGGGATCTCTGGATCACTCATTTCAGCTTGAATAGACCTCCATGTTAACTGAGGTATCTTGGTAGGTTCCTGCTCACCCACACAAATATAAAACATATGCAGTGGAGATTTATAACCTCACAAACCTAAAAAAGCAAATGGATGTCATGAATCTCGTGCATTTATTTGACAATGTTTATACCTCTTTGTCTGTATTTATCCTTTCACTCAGGTCATGACCTGATGAATCTTTATGTTTCCGCTCTCTGTCACTCCTCTTGGATTCTGAAGCCTCTTTGTGCCTTTTTTCACGCCGTTTATCTCTCTCTTCCCTCTCCCTGGCCTTTTCCCTATCCCCATCTTTGATGCTGTGGAAATAATCCTTTGACTCTTTCCACTCCTGGTGATGCTGTTCAACTTCTCGAGAGTGACTTGTGTGTGCCACCTGTTGACAGCAACAACTTTAGCAAAAAACTGTTCCAGTTCCAATGTAGCTCATTCAAGTCTGTTGACTAGCCACAATTTTTAAACATTCCTCCGTAATATCAGTACAGTCAGAATTACATTTTTATTATATTATCAGTATAATAACTTGCTCATAAATAGCAACAATCTTATGGCTTACATGACTTTCTTTATCCCTTCTTCTCTTCTCTCTCTCTTCTCTATCGCTTCTGTGTTCTGAAACAAAAGAGATCATATTAATTTTTAGATTTTCAAAAAAATTTTTTTTTTAAAAAGACATGAACCTAGAAAACACAGGCACAAACTATAATAACAATACCTTTTTCTTTGTGTCCAGAGTGTTCTTTATCACTGCGTCTCTCTCTCCTTTCTCCCTCCCTCTGTTTTTCCTCATATTCATCTCGATGCTGTTCACTTTCTCTTGCTCTGTGTCTTTCTCTCCTCTCTCTTTCTTTGTCTCTCTCCCGTTCATCTTTTTCTCCTTCTCTTCTCTCCTCTTTCCTTCTATCTGTTTCACTTTTTCGCTCCCTGTCTCTCTCAGCTCTCCTTCTATCTCGATCTTTTTCTCCTTCCCTGTTTGTACCTCTGTCCCACTGATTGTACATGTCTATGTCCCTGTCTTTATATCGGTCCTTTTCTCTATCCCTTCGTCTTTCACTGTTTTCCTTCTCACCTCGATTGTGTCTTTTTTCTTCTTCATCTCCATCTCTGTGTCTGTTGTCTCTCTCTCTCTTTCTCTCTTTATATCTATCCTCCCTGATGTCTTCCAGCTTGTCATCCTGGTTTCTATCCCTGTCTGGGTCTCTGTGTTTGCTCTTCTCTCTTGTGCTTTCACGCTCTCGCTGCTTTTCTTTTTCTCTTCTTGAATCTCGATCAGGATCTCGGTGACGGCGATCCAGAGATTCTCCATCCCTGTATTTCCTGTGCTCCTCTTCGCGTTTAGATCTTCTTTTGCTCTCCTCACTGTGTGCCTGACAAAACAATTATATGTTTTATGGGTTGTGCTTTTAAACCTTGTCTTTGTCTTACACACAAACAAACTGCTGATTACCTCAATGTGCACTTTTAAGTCATCAGACCTCCAAGTATCTTCTTTTGTTATTTTCTTATGAGAGGAAGGGGGAAATGGACAGCAAATGTGTTACAGCTGTGCAGAATGGAGCTCGATTACCTAATATAGCTACTAACTAAACACAGCTTACTTACAAGCTGATTGTTTACATACCAAGTGTTTTATGAGGAACTGACAGTTTGATATTGAAATAAACAAATTTAACTAACGCAGATAAGCAGTTTTATTTGGCTATCGATGAGTGGCTAATCGTGCTGTTCAGCTTTAACATTTTTCAGGAAAACCAATTGCTACACAACAGCTGCTCTATACAGAATACGATTTGCTTTACCTTCACAGGGTACATCACTTCAAAGATCCTCTTCTCACTTCTCCTGTTTAATACAACAATCACAAGTTTTTGTTGACAGCTTTCACCGCCATACCGCTAGACGACTAAAACGCCTGCGCAGTTTAATGCTACTATGGTAACCTGCCAAGCCATGGCAACAACAGACTATTAAATCGAGCAAAGAGCAATCGCTCGACACAACTATGGTAACACTGTCGAATTTAGACAATCGAAAAATCGAACTAAAAAGACTATCGATGTGACATAGCACACAACATAAAATATGACCGTGCTTGCTTTGTACTATACACACGAGTTGTAGAATTCAGCATATGTCTACTGTTATTGTTGTGTTTTATTTGTGTCGTCCTCCCTTAGTTTACTAAAAGCAGCAACTTAAAATAAAGAATAAAACTGAGATGAACGCACAACATGGAGGACGACACAAGCAGACAGCACATTTTGGCACAAACAGTCTATCAGAAAATATGAAACGAACAGCTTCTTGTTTTTGTTCTTTAATTAACAGTTAACGCTCGGGAGTCGCTTCGCTGTCGACGCCTCGTTGTTTGTGTATCTGCAGTTGCTTGCTCGGGGTGGCGGGTTTGCGCTGTCCGCGACGCTCACTGACCTCCTGAGACCCGCTGTGTGTGTGTGTGTGTGTGTGTGTGTGTGTGTGTGTGTGCGTGCGTGCGCGAGAGAGAGAAAGAGAGAGACAGGGTAACATCAAAGTGGAGTCAGCTGTCTTAACCGTGGCTTGTGTACTGCAAACACATATTCATCACTGTGTCTGTCACGCAACTCTGTTCCCCTTTCGGGCTCTGTCTTTACATTTATTTTGAAAGATGAAGCTCACGATTATGGTAAGGGGCATTACATTTCCGACGAGTGCTTGCGGTGTTCGGCCAATCACAATGCACTGGGGCAGCTGGCCAATCAGGACAGACTGCGCTTGTCGGAAGGAGGGACTTTGTAGAAAACGAAGCGTTTGAGAGAGGCGGGGCATAGAGGACCTACAATAATGTACAGTATTTGAAAAATAATGTGTTTTTTGAACATTAAAGCATGTCAACATATTCTGTTACACCAAATACACAAAATAATGATCTTTAAAAAAGCATCATATGACCCCTTTAAACCAAGTAGTATCTTCTGAAATACTGATGACTTGTTTGTCCAGTTTCTCTGTGGTTCCTGGGAAGTGTGTGACGCATGACATGTCTTAAAGAGACATGTTATATCTCTTGCCTAAAAGCTTCAAGATTGCCACACTAATGTCTAGTTAAATACACTACAGAGTTCAAAATATATATTCTTGCATTTTACAAAAATATGTAAATACATGTAATATCTTTTTTAATAAATGTCAGTTATCACAAGCAAGTTTTTTTTCAATGTCACATGACAACTCTCTGTATGCCTATTTATAGGAAAACAAACCATTTACATTACAGATGATCAGATTCTCATCAAATTATGTCACTGTCAGGAATCTATAGTCTATCTATACATCTTCACATTACTGTTGCAACTCTACAATCTGTCTCATCTCTAGCCAGATTTTCTTTAAGGAACATTCCCATAGATATCTGTCTCTGGTCTTGTCAATGAAGGGAAATCCTCAGAGATCTCTAGTGACCATAGAAACACAGTTACCATGGGAACTTTCAGTGTCTTTCCCACATATCATTAATACTAAACAAAATAGTCAATATTCATTTTGGATGGACACCCGAAGTCTAGTGCTGTTTGTTGTGCTGCATCTTGAGATTACAATAAAGATGTTACTTTTATAGGACATATACAGAAGGGGGATAGCTTTATAGGTGCCAAAACAGTGTCTTCTCAGGCCGAGAGTGTGTTGTGTTCTCCGGTAACCAGATGTGGCTTACCTGAGATTTTTCTTTCAGCTTTTGCTTAATGTCTTGGAGAGAAGCGTTTATGGTTTTGCAGCTGTGTTACCATAGTGATGAGATTCAAATTTGCCCTATACATTTGTTTTGCTTGTGTGTAGCATTTGTTTTATAATTGAAAGTTTCAGTCTTAAGATGTTAAATTAAAGGGGCCTTTTGTGGTCAGAAATGCTCCATTTCAGACTGCAGAGGCAAAAGTGGCCCAAATCCTATATTCTTTTTGGTTTGCTAATAGATTTAGATCTGTTTTTGTTTTCATAATAATGTGAACAGCACAAACGACATGAAATCTGATCTTTTTGGTTCTGATTTGGGCCGTTTTAGGTCATAAGTCACATACAGGTGTGATGTTTTGCAGTGAGACCTCAGTCTGAATGGTCATATCATAATTCATGCGAGGTTTATGTCACTCTGCATTAACATTGTTTAATAAGAATTCTGCATTGACGGGAGTCGGGCAAAGATTTTACATACCAGAATATGGAAGAAAGCTGCAAAGGTAGTCAGTGGAGTGACAGTGAGTTGTTATAATTACGGGTTACAGCTCTATACAAGCAAAAGTTGAGGGGAAACTGTATGAGGAAAAACTTTGCTCTTTTTCTCCTCATCCTTGTTCTCCCTCTCACCGACTCACAAATTTGCTGGCTTCTGCTGCACATCACCTTATAAATGAATGCATAAACACTGACTTCAGTGACCTCCAGATTTAGTTCTGTATGATAGAGTGCTGTGTGACGTCTTTGTTATTCCTTTTGTGCAAGTGGGTCAGTTCAGGACCGTGACCAGTTCACACTCGAATCAGTTATTGGCCACAAAAATAATGTGAAAGTCCATACCAAAACTGGATCTGAACAAAAAAGGCTTGCAGTGTAAATGTAGCCATAGGCTCAGAAGTTCTTTGTGTGGTCATAGTGCCTGTTGGGTGGAAGATAACTGTATTTTTTGATACCTGACAAGTTAAAAGGGTAGTTAACCTGATTCTGATTCTGTTATCATTTACTAACCATTGTGTCATTCCACAACCTGTATGACTTACTTTTTTTCTGTAGAACACAAAAGGAGATAATTTTTTGTCGCTATATTGAAAGTCAATGGAGTCCAAAACAACACTGTACCCCATTGACGTAATTGCCTTTTATTGTATGGTACTGCTTGAGAAATTTAAAAAGTGCAGTGTCAGTGTGTCATCTTGCTCCCTTACATTGCATGAAACAAATGCAGGCTAAGCATTTTACGCATGCAGGGTTTTAACTGCAGCTACGCTCATCGCTGATCCTATTGCTCTACATATTATAGACATGATAATGCCACTGAAGTGAAAGGAAAGAAGAGAATACACATGGGTGCCACTTTTTTGTATAGAGAACCTTTCACATGTTTATACAGTAAATCTTTTAATTTTGTCATACATTGACTGTTTATTTTTCATGCCATCTGTGGACCAAGGGTGTGCATGTGTGTAATAGCCAAAGGTTTTTTTTCAAAGACACTGCAGCACATTTACAGAAACAGTCTTGTTCCTTCTCTCTTTTATTAATATGATAAATTTGTCTATTTCTCCACCAGGTTCATTATCCAGATGTGGAGAAAGTTGAGTGGCTAAATAAGGTGAGAGAATTATTAGATAATAATTGCCTGTCCCTCATAATTTCTAAATAATCATCATCCAGCACTCTAATCTGGAATCTCTGATACTCTCTTGCACTCTTTCTCGCTTTCATTGGCTGTACGCTGGTGCTATAATCCAGTGTGCTTTGCTCATGTTACACTACACAAGTACACATAGCATCCATTTTTCACCCTCTGTGTCAAAATCAGTGGCTTTTTAAAATATTTAAATACATATATATATTCAGTGACTACCAGTCTTCATAAAAATACTTGATTTGAATATTTAATTGGCATTTTGCCCAGCGGTGTAATTTTTGTACCTGAATGGCCTCATGCTTCTGCAAAGTTTCAAACATTCAAAATCATGCAAAACTATTTACATGAAACTGATGTTTTTAAACATGATAAAACTGAGAAGGATAAAAACACTTATTGTACTGTATCATTGTAATGTTACAACCTACATTTTCACACATGCATTTTGAAGCTCATAAATGTGATTGTAACGATGGGAGACGTGACAGCGGAGTTGAGGATCCAAATGCAGCTTTATTCAAAAAAGTGGTCAAAACAGGCAGGGTCAAACACCAGCAAACAATCATAATCCAGGGTGAAACAAAAGAGTGATACACAATAAAGGCGAAGGTCAGGGCTAGTGATGTGACATTTGAATTGAGGCATCGGAGCTTGTGTCGAGAATAAAGGGGCGTGCCATATGAAGCCTCGATTCGAAGCTTGTGTTGTTAACATAGAAATGACGTGACCAATGACAAACGAAGCTTCACTTTCTGTCCAGTCACGTGCGTGATTCACTTTGCGTGTCGGAATGTTCGAATCCCCAGATCTTACTTTATGAGAAAGTTTTCATTCAGACGTATTCAGTTACACTTTAGATACCCAGTCATACAAGTAATATGAAGAATACAAATTATTTCATAAAAATTAAATATGTCATATGAAATTCATATGTGTACATTATTCTTCTATAACACCATATTGATATTCGTACTGGTATTAAATTGCAGTTTAATGGGTAAATTAATTTATCAGAGACAGAAATTCAACAAACACAAACACACCCACTGGCTTTTATTTGTGCATGTAACTTGAATCGATCTGTGGAATATATGGTAGATGCCTCGTCCTATGGAGCGTCTTTCACAGGCTTTTGGCTGCTATATTTTTTATTAACCGCCAGATGGCGCTGTTTTTGAGCCACTCGAAGCTTTGAATCTTTTGAATCTATCGGAGGATAGTCTCAGTGCTTCACGATGCTTAATTTGCCTATTACTAGTCAGGGCAGGCAGCAAACGATCAGAAACAAGGAAACAGGATCAAAAAACACCAAGGCAAGGCAAGAAAACAAGGAACTAGAAAACACGGGAAAATACAAAGACATTATAGGCTATCAATACTGAGCCATGAATGAGTGAAAAACCAGGCTTTAAATAGGGTAAGACTGATGGAGGTAACAAGATACAGGTGAATGCAATCAGTGATCAAGAGTCCAGGCAAAGGATTATGGGGAATGTAGTTAGTGAGGGAGTGACAACAGTCTGGGGTGCCCTCTGGAGGAGCTCATGGGCACTCCAGCTGGTGATCGTAACAGTCATATACATGTAAAAATAAAAATTTATTCTGTCTCTTTTTTCATTATTTGGCTATCTACATCACTAACTTATTTCAAAGGTTTTAGATATTATTTCTTTTCTTTCAGACACGGTATCCTACATTCAGTTTTTAATAATTCTGTTTGTGCTATACCAGTGTGACTACCTGTTCTGTTGTCGTGGAGAATAGTTTCCAAATGCCTAGAGTTTTTACAGTTAGTCAAGTTACAACATGCCCTCGGGCCTGTTTAAATGAAAACTGTGAACCTTGTATCACAGAACCTTGTTGTGGAAAAAAATATATTTTACACGTATTTTGTTTTTATCAAATGTAGTCAAGAGAGTATCAAACAACAGTTAAACTTTTTTGATAACTAATGAGTTTCAGACCAGCTTGTTTATCATACTCAAGTCAGTAGCAGTAAGAACTGAAGATGCCTTAAGTGCCTCAGTTTACTCAGTTGCATAGTACTAAGCAGATACACGCTTATGTCTTTCAGACAGTGAAACAGATGTGGCCTTATGTGTGTCAGTTTGTGGAGAAGCTGTTTAAAGAAACAATCGAGCCAGCAATCAAAGAAACCAATGCCCACCTCAGTACGTTCGGCTTCATCAAGATTGATCTTGGAGATCAGGTATGCATGCTCACTGCCTATGAACATTCAATGCTCACAAAGGGCATCCTATTAGAGAACATGTAAATCTTTGTTCATGATGTTTAATATAACATCAGTCAAGCTGGCTTTTATTTTATGGCACTTTAGACACCAACATATTGCATACACTTTTTTTTGGCTCCTTTCCCTCTCAGTCAGCTTGTGATTTAACATATCCAGTTATTCAGAGTGTAATCTTGAAAAGGAAAACCATCAGTTAGTACCATGGCTTAGCAGTTAATCCACACGAGGCCACATTTTGTGGTTTTGATCAGACAGACAACACGAGTCTCCACCTCCTCTACCCATTATTTCCTGTGCTGTCACCACTATTAAAGGTTTTTATTAAGTGTTTTTTTTTAAATGAAAGAAATCAGTAGGCATTGCCTAGCCCATTCACTCAATATAACTCAATATAGGGCAGTGGATTTTATAGCTATAGAAATATTTATATTTCTATATATAAATATTTATATGTTTATAGGCACAGTGGAAGTACAGAATGGCAGTGTTTTTAACAATTCAAGGCCATGCTATTATACTCCATCACAGAAGGTTTTCTGTTGTAATTATTTATATTTATATATTTGTAATTATTTATTTATATTTAGTGTAGTTCATCATCTAGACATTTTGTTGTTCTTGTTTTGTAGTGTTCTCTTTTCCGTTTCATTCAAAGACTGTGTATGTTATTTGTGGTATAAGACCATCTTGCATGTTTTATTAAAGATAAAACATTGCTTAATGACTTTGCACTGAAGAGACATTGCACTAAAAAGCTATATATTGCATCAGTAGGAGGAAGGTTGATGTAAGAAATTTAAACCTTTTGAAAAAGCTGACCACCTGTCAGATGGAAATAGTTTATGTTGTCAGGGCTCTGTGGAGCAATGCATGCAGGTTAAAGATATGTCAACCTCCTGACGGGGCATCTGTGCTCATCTCTGTCACAGCCTCTCAGGATCAATGGGGTCAAAGTTTACTCTGAGAACGTGGACAAACGGCAGATCATCATGGACCTTCAGATCAGGTGACATTACATTATATATGCTATGCTGACATCTTTAGATCTTTTATTTAACTTTCTGGTTGTCGTACAGGTTTTAATATTTATCTTTTCTTTTATAGCTTTGTTGGAAATACTGAAATCGATGTGGATGTCAAAAGGTACTACTGTAGAGCAGGGATCAAAAGTATACAGGTATATTGTTATATATTCTCATAAAAATTTTAGAGTGATAATTCTCTGCTCTTGTGCTACATACAGCAGTAGGATTGCACTGTTATATGTTCACAACAGACAAACAGCAGCTCTGTTATGTATGGCATCTTCCATAGAGTTTGTCTCCATGACCCAATGGATTATGTTAGTCAAGGCCAGAGAGTTAATTTGTTGGATACAGGGAAGCTCTTTCCTATATTATGATGCATCCACGTGTTTCATGCAAGGAATCCAGTCGACTGTAGAACGGAGCCTATTTTTATTTTTACAGAAAGGGTGTGTGTATTTATAGGGAGGCGTGTAACCAAATACTAAAATGTCCTTGTACCGTTTGTAGTGCATGATCAGATATATACACACATGCTCACACATTGACCGTTTTGTACATGATTTATGGACTTGTTTCATTCTGTCGCATTAAATGCATAGCAGAATAAACTCTGTGTGACAGCATGCTGTGTTTATGTATGATGTATTTTTTACTGTACAGCAAGGAGGTCTATAATACCTGGAGAGAGCTGTTAGCATTCGCATTCATCTCTACGACAGTTACACAGGGAAGTGTGAGACAGCTTCATAGACACTCAGTTCCAGAAAAAAATAATAGCACATTTCATGGCTTTTAGATCACTCATAAAATAATTAACCACTGGTTAAAATGTACAATAATATAATGAAATACTTTTGTGTTTTATGTGTCACAAAATTAAAATTAGGGAGCAAGGCAAGACAAGTTTATTTATATAGCACCTTTCACACATAAATTCATCGTGCTTTGCATACAAATAAGAAAAAAATAATGTATTTAAAATGTATTGAAAAAAATAATAAAATAAGTATTAAAATATAGTAATAGAATAAAACAAATAAGAAAAACATTATTATTATTATTATTATCAGCTATGACATACTCATGCCACTGTAATCACTGTATTGCAGAATGAATAAGGCAGAAAAAGCACTTAATATACACACTGGTTGATCTTATATAACCTCTTCCACATATCATGATTCCATAAAGGCCTGCTTGAGACAGGACATTCCCTTGAGTTATTTGTTCTCATCAGCAGCTCTTTGGTAATGAATTAGTGTTCAAAACAGAAGCTTATAATTCTGTTGCTCAGAGCTGAAGTGAAGTGAACGTCTATCACTGAGCATGTGGAGTGCTGTCAGAAGCAAAACAATAAATGCATCAGTGTTGAGATGCTGAAACATTCATCATCAGCCTGGGGCGTATAGTGGTTAGATTGACAGCGCTGCTGTCTCACACCAGAAATCTTTTTCTTGTTTTCCAAAAAAGAATACCCATCCTTAGAACAAAATATGAGGTATAAATTTGATATAAAAAGATATTAAGACTTGATGTCTTTTTTTTAATGCAGTTCTGTAATTCCATTTGAGGACTCCAGTGATAAAGTGGGTTGTTCCTATTGTGTCCAACAATACTTTCATTAAAATAATCCGGTTAATGCTCATTTTTATTTAGCTTTTTTTAATTGAGGATATTTCATATTGGCTTAATCGGTACACACCAAACCTCTGAGAATCCATACCAGTGTTTTGAAATTTAATATGATGTGTCTGTCTCTCTCTCTCTGTGTGTACTTGACCGCTTGTATGAATAGCTACATGGAGTTCTGCGGGTGATTCTTGAGCCACTTTTGGGGAGTATGCCACTGGTTGGTGCTCTTTCCGTCTTCTTCCTCAAGAAGCCAGTGAGTTTACAAACTATTTATTAATACCTTTTAATATTGTCTGAGTTATTACCTGATGAAGACTGAAGTGATCGAAATGTTGTTTTGTTTCTGATCAAGTTTGGAACTGTAATATCAGCGTGTGGACATGTATTCCCTTTTTTCACATTTGCTGCCTCTTGTCCTGCACCTATATTTAACTTGGATTTGAATGTGAGCATTTTACCAAATAATATTGAATTTACAATAGCATACAAAGGAGCTTTGTCTCTGTGATGCTGTTGTTTGCAGTTATTCAGCCCTTGAGATTGGATGTATTACATTTAGCAGACACTTTTTGTAAAAACTTTAATGTGAATAAACATGTTTCTACAGTACATACAAAGTCCTGGGTGAGTGTTAGGAAGGAAGGATCTCAAGGAAGGTTCCACAGTTCCACAGTGACTTCCATTGTATGGACATATTCTGAGACATTTCTCAGAATATGTTTTTTTCAATGTTGCACAGAAGAAGAAAGTCATGCAGGTTTGGAACAACATGAAAGGATTAGTTCACTTCCAGAATAAAAATTTCCTGATAATTTACTCACCCCCATGTCATCCAAGATGTTAGAAGAAATTAAAGGGAACATAACACACACAGTTTCGGCCAATCTCATGTTAATCTTGAGTACCTATATAGTAGTATTGTGTCCTTCATATCTCCGAAGAGTCTTTAGTTTTATCAGATTTATATATATATATATAT